AAAAAAATTAGTAACAAAAAAAAAATTATTAAATTCACAATTAAACATTATTAATATTAAGAATTAAAAAAAAAACTCATAAATTATATAAAATTTAATAGATTGAACTTTAAAACTAATCTAATAACTATAAAGTAACTAATTAATATAATTTAAAACTATCAAAAATATTTGTTTTTACTTATATATAAAGTATAAATTTTTAGCTTTTATGGAGACTACACTACTTAAACTTAAATAAAAAAAATAAAAAAACAAAAAAAAAAAACACATATTAAATGTAATATATTTTTCTATACCCTACTATTCCAATAAACTAATAAAAAACTATACATCTAGGATTAAATATTGCTTCTAATATCATTACATGCTTTAAGTATTATGTATCACATTTAGGCGAGCCATTGGAAAATTAATGAAATATGTAAAGTTAACGATTTGATTAAAAACTCCTCAAGCCTAAACAAAGCTGAAATTCTTAGGGTTTCTTAGGCAATAGAGCCATAGCCATAATAAGTAAGCAGGAAAATATCTTATCAACTGCAGCTGCTTCTGGCTGTCTTTGAGGCTGTGAGCCGTGGCGTGGAAATGGAAAAGCATTTGCATGTGCTTAGCAGGATCAAGGATAAGCGCCAGCCAACTGATTGAGTCATTTTTTTTTTCTATTCATTTTTGCTGTTGTAAAGGAAGACAATGCCGCGACCGCCGTTGCTGAAAGTGATCGTGATACGTGATGGAGGCCGCAGATGCGGCGGTGCTCGCGTCTCAGAGATAGACTTCTTCCCATTTCTTTCCATTATTCTCATATCCAGTGCGTGGCATTCAAGCGATCAGCCAAATAACAACAAACAATGTTCTGCGTGGAGAGAACGGGGTGTAAGAAGGGTGCGGCTGGGTAAGGTATGGATGGTAGGGGAGGTATAGCATTCGTTGTCCTTATTATCGCTGCATCCTTTTGTGGCTGTTTTGTTAGCTTTGATCGCTGCTACTTAGCATTTTCCTAGCTGCCTTTGTTGCTGTTGTTGTTGTTGTCGATTTGTGCATGCTTCAGTGCATTTTCCACTGCCAACAGTAGCGCCTTTTTCATGACACTCAAACGAGGCGAGAGACAGGAGAAAGGGGTTACAACCGAAACAGTTGGCCAACAGATACTGGAATTGAGATAGTAAATCTGATAGGGCCTCTTACAAAATTACAGACAGATGCTCAAATGCCGTATTACTCATTCATCATTTAACATGCCGTTAAAAGTCTAGTTAATTAGCTAGTTACCTAATATGTCTTTGGTCCAAAACAGGTATGAGGATAGATGCACTTTAATTAATGATATATTGATTGAAGTAGTGGAAAGGTTCTGATTGTATTGATATGGATAAACAGTTTTATAAACAAGCTCTCAGGACAAAATGTTGGTTTGCATAAAAATTATAAACCATATACTTTAAATACTGGTGAAATTTAAAATATGATTCTAATGTTAGATAGTAAAGTATAAAAAATTATAAATTAAAATTTATAAGAAAACAAAGACCTAATACAAAATATTTTTTTTTTTAAATTATTTTT